TGTTTTAAATATAACTATTTAGGTGTTAGAGCATCTGATACAATTTTTGGTTTTAACAATTTATATGTTGCAACTTTTGAAAAAATTGAATAAAAGAAAGTTTGAATAAATTGCTGAATTTTATTTTTAGAGTAAAGAAGTCTTTTAATAATTAATGCTAAAAAGTTTAATAAGAAATTTTATAAATTTTATTATTTCTAAAATACATTTAAAATAAACTCAATATTTTTCTATTTTTCTTGCAATATTTTGGTGTTTTTCTTAAAATTTTTCAGCACTAAAAAAGGATCCCATTTCAATAATTAAAAATTTTTTTTCAATATTTTAAATCCGCAAAAGTCAATCCGGAATTGTCATCCGCGTTTTGTCGTCCACAATTTTTGCGCTGCAGGCGAAGATCTTTAGATTTTTTGAAGAGCCAAAGTCAAATTTTTTCCATTTCTTTCAAAAAAGTTCGGCTCTTGTCCAGTTCATGCGTCCCATAAAAATTTATGCGTCCCATGAAAATTTATGAGTCCCAAAAATAGTCTATGCGTCCCATAAACATTTATGCGTCCCAAAAATAATTTATGCGTCCCATAAAAAGTTATGCGTCCCATGAAATAAATTGAAAAATCTTTTGATAATCAATATACTGCTCTTTGTTAATCAAATACGGTATTTCCTAAAGTAATACTCCCCTCTGAATTAGTACTCCCCCTTAAATAATACTCCCTTTTGGAGGAGGGTTGAAAAATAGTACTCCCCCTGAATTAGTACTCCCCCTAAAAATAGTGCTCACCCCTGAATTAGTACTCCCCCTAAAAATAGTACTCACCCCTAAAATATTTTTCCCCTATATTTGGAAAAATAATAAGAGACTCATTGAATTATCTTATTTATTCTAAGTAGTGTTGTCGGTTCACTTGGTTCTTCGATAAACAAAACCGAACAGCTTTCGGTTAACCAAAATTTTAACCTAAAATTTTTCGAGTATTAAAGAGATATAATCCGATTAATTGGTGGGCAAAAGTGAATTTTGGGGATATAAAGGGATCAATATCGTATGATAAAATGGGTTCTGGATTGATCAACGTTAAAAATTTTACCGTTTCCTAACTCACACATGGGTGCCCAAATCCTGCACTTAGCCTAAGGACATTACAGAAGTTGATTTTTTTTTCTAAATTTTTTTTTCTTTCGCCCTTTATAGTAATTGACGTTACACTAACAAAGATTTCCTTACATAATAAATACTTGTTGAAAATATTAATTCAACATCGATAGAATAAAATGTATCGTCAGAATTCGATTTTTATGTCAATTTGTCAATTTTTTTATGTTAACAATACAAAAATTATTCTAATAATTGATATGGAAAACTCAAGTTCGGAAAAGGAAGACGTATACGTTAAAAATTTTACCTTTTCCTAACTCACACATGGGTGCCCAAATCCTGCACTTAGCCTAAGGACATTACAGAAGTTGATTTATTTTATAAGGCCTTAAGAGAACAAATTGATATTTTATACTTAAAACTAACTCATCGATCTATCAAAAACCAAAAATGAGAACAATCGCACATATTGGAGCCCAAATTATACATTCCACCCTAACACTCCTTCCATGAATTAACAATATCAATTAATGGTACTTTATTGATATGCTGTCCCCGCTATTTTGAGTTTATGACTTTTATTATGATGTACAAAATAGTCAGACTTCCTTCCTCAATTTCTTTCTATTTCCCTTTGGCATATTCAAATTGAAAGGAGAGGTTTTAATGAGATATAAAGGATTTGGCGCGATTAAGGAAGTATCTGGGGATGATGTCGCTTACTAGTTAACTTTTATTAAAGTTTGCTTAGAGGTTTAGATTTGTTGAATTATTTATTCAACATCCAAAAATACTTCACAATTGGCAACAAAACTACTCAGTGTTTTTTCCAGACGGATTAATAAATTGAAAATTAATCTAATAATTTATATTTTGGTGGCATAAAATAATTATTTGCTATTCTGTTCGAATAACTTGTACATAATAACCCCAAAGCAAAAATAAGCAAAAAAAGTTTGTTCTGACATTTTGCTAGCTCCTGAAGCTATACTTAATTATACATGTACAGTCGTGGAAAAAAGTATGGAAGCGCTAGAAAAAGTTTTTTAAATTCTTAATTTTTTATTCAAAAAATACGTTCTATATAGCAATCGAAAGCTCTATTCGTATCTCAGTTGACATGTTTCTGCATTTTTCATGAAATTCAAAATTGGCCGAGATAATCCGGATCTACCGGATCAAATCCCATTTTTTCGGAAAAAATTTTCGGAAGAAATTTAACAAACTCATTTGATATAGCATATTTTTCTGAGTATTTTCCACAAAACCGCTTATGCTACGGTTACATAAAAATCGCGCGCGACACGCGACAGTCGCTAGGCGACATGTCGCCGGCGACAGTCGCTAGTGGCGTGGTTACATAAAATCGGCGTCTTCCGCAAAAGCGACTGTCGCAAAGCGACAAACGCTGATTTTATGTAACCACGCCACTAGCGACTGTCGCGCGCGTCTTGTCGCCTAGCGATTGTCGCGTGTCGCGCGCGATTTTTATGTAACCACTAAATTATTAGTTTTTCTATCTTTTTCAACTATATTTTCTTTATTTATTTATCTCTAATTTTCACGGTGGTGAAAGTCAGAGTACTGTAATGTATAGGACAATTTGTTGCCACTATTTTATTGTGGCTTTTATATTGTGATTTTTTAGAATTTTTCCATTGATATTTCGATTAGAGGTAGGCGCGGGACAGGATCCCGACGAGATTTTCCGGGATCCCGATCTTAAGGCCTTATAAAATTCTCTAAATTTTCGCCTGCGGCGCTGGAAGAGGATGAAATCTGGTTTCTTGGCTTTTAAAAATTCTAAAAAATTTTGCACTGAGCAGGTCTCCCCGAGCCTTCGGGTTTAAGCGGTTTTGTGGAAAATACTCAGAAAAATATGCTTTATCAAATGGGTTTGTCTAATTTTTTCAGAAAAATTTTCCGCGGATATAGGATTTGGTATATCTGGTAGATCCGGATTATCTCGGCCTATTTTCAATTTCATGAAAAATGCAGAAACATGTCAACTGAGATACGAATAGAGCTTTCGATTGCTATATAGAACGTATTTTTTGAATAAAAAATAGTTAATTTTCATTTAAATTACTCCTGTCCCTATCTTTATGTCGACTACTGTAAATAAGATTAAATTTGTAAAAATCTAATAGATTTAGAGGGATATCGGTGGATCTATATGGGTCTTATATCGGAACTAAAACTCCGGTATACTAAACTATATCCAAATCCCGACTCGGGATCCCGGAAGTGCGATTTTGCCGACCTCTAATTTTGATCAAGGAAATGGAGATACAGTACTTCAAAAAATATTTTAAACCCCTAGAACTTTAATAAAAAATTTTCTTTTAGGCTCATTTTAAAGCCCATAAAATTTCAAAAAAATTCAAAAAATTCTTTTTATCTTTTTTTCCTCCCCAAAATAGGGAGGAACTCATCAAGAAATTGTCACTTTTTCATGTTTTTGATATCATTTGATAGAGAATCAAAAGCTCTACAACATATCAAAAAATCAGAATTTTTGACCGTTGATAAAAAAGTTATAATATAAATACTCGATGGCATACTGAATATCTCAAAAATATCGAAAAAAAGAACATTTTTTGCAAAAAGTATACCTTTTTCAAAATCAATTTTAACCCATAAGATTTAACTTTAAAAATATAAAATTTATATTGATCGATAGAGAATAAACTGAACTTTCAGAATCTTTTTAAATTTTGAAAATCGGATCAGAATTGATCGAGAAATAGCATGTCGCAAAAAAGTGTCGCCGAAAATTCAAACATGTTTGAATCAAAAAAAGTGTCGCCGGCGACAAGTCGCCGGCGGAAATCGCATTTTATGTAACCACTAGAAAAAGCGACAAAATCGCGCGCGACATGTCGCCGGCGGAAGTCGCGGTTTATGTAACCACTCAAAAAAGCGACAAAGTCGCGCGCGACAAGACGCCGGCGGAAGTCGCTTTTTATGTAACCACTAGAAAAAAGCGACAAAATCGCGCGCGATTTTTCTCTCCTCTTTTTACATTATCTTTTCTGTCGCGTGTCGCGCGCGATTTTTATGTAACCGTAGCATTAGAAATATCTTTTTCCGGAACAGAGATACGATTTTTTGAAAATCGTATTTTTCGTCAATTTTTGCAAAAAATTCGATTTTTAAGGGAAAAATACGATTTTCAAAAAATCATATCTCTGTTCCGGAAAAAGATATTTCTAAGCGGTTTTTGGAAAATACTCAGAAAAATATGCTTTATCATTTGGGTTTGTTAAATTTCTTCCGAAAATTTTTTCCGAAAAAATGGGATTTGATCCGGTAGATCCGGATTATCTCGGCCAATTTTCATTTTCATGAAAAATGCAGAAACATGTCAACTGAGATACGAATAGAGCTTTCGATTGCTATATAGAACGTATTTTTTGAATAAAAAATTAAGAATTAAATAAAATTTTTCTTGTGCTTCCATACTTTTTTCAACGACTGTATTTTTAAATTCTCTTTTTTACCAAACAAAATTCTTTCTGATTTATTTAATTTAGTTTTTGTGATTAAAATTATATTTTGCTTTATTGAATCTGTATTTAAAAAAAAAACTTTACCTTTCTGAAAGAAAGTATCAAACATTTATTTTCAAATGTATGTATATTTTAATGTTAATATTTAAAAACAATTTATCTACTAATTATTTCATAAACAAAAATAATTTATTTTTTTTTGAACTTTTAAAACCTGTCTTTATTTTAAAATTTTTTATTTAAACCGAAACATAAATTTGATAAAAAAAATAATTTAAATTTTGATTAATTAATGGATAATAATTTTTAATTTTATTATAAATAAATAAGAATATTAATTTTAAAGGGTTCACTAAATAAAAAGAAATATTTTCTTAATTAAAAATAATTAAATGAATTATTTTCTTTTATTTCCATTTTTGTTAATTAATTTTTGTTATTTCACAAATGGTGAAAAAGCAACAGTTGCACAATGCGAAACTGTGGTTGAATATTATGTAATAAAAGATGACTGCGTGTATGTTAATTATATTTATGTAGTTGTTAATTTAGAGATTTTAATTAATAACATTTTATTTTTAAAATCACAGATCAGAATTTGTACATATTTTTCAAGCTTTCTTAAACTTTTTTAAAAATAATAAATTTCAGCTGCACAAATGATTTTAGTAAATGTCTAACATCAATAGTAAATCAAGGAAAGTGTACAAAAGAGGATTTTCCCGCTAATTTAACTGAAACAACCTTGTGTACTAAAATGTATTCGAAATGTTCGTTAACGGAAAATGAATGTGATATTTGTGGATGTTTTGAGTAGGGGGTTTTACTTTTTCTTTAATTATTAATATGGCCGGGGAAGCATGGAAATGCATGTTTTGTATGCGGATATTTCATGTTGAGATAAACACAAAAAAAGTGTTTCTAAGCTGGCTCGAGCACGCATGTAGGACTCTGTTCTTGATTGCATATTTAGGCAGCTAGTGCATATTTGCATATCGATGCATATTTTGTTGATATTCTGCATATTTGTGGAAAAATTTGTGCATATCTTTGCATTTGAGAAATTTGTAGTTTAAAAAATATTTTTTGCAAAATACAAAAGTATTCAAAAAATTTTTGAAAAAATCTCGTCGCGGCCATGATCTCATGCAAAATGTGTTTTAATATGTTTCAATACTACCTTAATAATATACAAATATATATATAAAAATTAAAGTTTGTCTATTGATTGTTTGATCCAAGATAAATGTGAAAAATTTGTGAGCAGTTCAACATCAGATAAACGTATTTTTAATGAAAAGATATTTTTTTAATAATTCTAATTTTAAATTTAAATATTTAGGTGTTCGAGCATCTGATACAATTTTAGGTCTTAACAATTTATTAAATGAACATTTTGAAAAAAATTGAATAAAGAAAATTTGTAATAGATTACTGAATTATATTTTTAGATTAAAAAAGTTGTAAAAATTTATTGTTCCAAATGGTCAATTAGAAATTTTATTGATTCTTTTATTTTTTATTTTAAAGTTTAACTCAATATTTAGTATACTTTTTCAATTTTTCAGTACCAAAAATCGGTAAAACCTCTTTAACATTGACCGGTAGGGTAACTGTACCGTCATCTATGCCGAACACTGCATAATTGTCTAAACTTTTTGTAAAATGGTGTCTGGATTAAATATCAATTAACTAACTTTTATCTTAACTATTTTAATAAAAAAATTGTAAACCGATTATCCTTAATTTTTGGTTCGGATCCCGGTACGGAATCTCTGTAAATAAATCCCTTTAAATCCTCAATAACCCTCAAATCGCTGCTATCCTTGGAACCAAACCTTAATCCCTCAAATCCCCTTATATCCCCAGATTGCGGGCAGCGGATTTTTAAATTAATTTCTGCGGCTGCGGAAAATCTTTTTTTTTGCGGCCAGCCCTGGTAGATAAACTAGGGGTGAGCTTATATTAAAGGGTGTGATTTAATCGTAGAGTGCTGTTCTATTAAATACCGTATTTCCTGAAATAGTACTCCCCCCTAAATTAGCACTCCCCCCTTAAATAGTACTCCCCTTTGGAGGAGGGTTGAAAAATAGTACTCCCCCCTGAATTAGTACTCCCCCTAAAATAGTACTCCCCCCAAAAATATTTTTCCTCTATACATATTTAAAAAAATAATACGAGACATTGAATTATTTTATTTATTCTAAGTATCGTTGTCGGTTTCACTTGATTCTTTGATAAACAAAACCTGAGAGCTTTCGGTTAACCGAAAACGAATCGAAATTTTAAACTAAAATTTTTCGAGGATTAAAGAGATATAATCCGATTAATTGGTGGAGTAAAAGTGGATTTTGGGTATATAAAGGGATTGATATCGGGTGTAAAATGGGTTCTGTATTAATCAAGTGGCATTTAAAAGACATCATTGGATTAAGGTTTGATATAGGAATTTGAGGGAATAATGAAGGGGGAGTAATATTAGGCGATTTTGGTTGATTAAGAGCGATTAAGCGATAAGTTGAATCATAAATCCTTCTTAATCAACTAATATCGGAAGTACAAAAGGGATGTGGAGGATATCGGTGTTTAATATGATAAATAACTAGACAGAGATTAGGTAATCCCTAGACACATGGGTTTAGTTGACCCTGATAAATCTTAGACCCGAAAATCCCCTTATATCCCTCGATATCACTCCAAATTCACTTATATCCTTTTTGATTTCCCTCAATAACCCGTATTTTAAGTCACTTGTGTTTAATTGTCTCGCAATTTGCTCAATTTTATACTAATTCGGATATTTTCTACAACTTTTATTAAAGAAATTTTTTGAAAATCAGGGTCCGGATCCGGCATTTTTCAAATAGCGAACTCTAATCGAATTTATTTTGAGATAAATTGAAATAAATTAAAATATTTTTTTTAATTTTGAAATAAATTTTCCTATGAAAAATCATGGAGGATGGTTGAAAAATAATACTCCCCCCTGAATTAGCACTCCCCCCTTAAATAGTACTCCCCTTTGGAGGAGGGTTGAAAAATAGTACTCCCGGGAGTACTATTTTAGGAAATACGGTAATTATATTGTATTGCTTATTGAAAAAATAAGGAAATACATACTATTATATTAATATCTAAATATTTCAGTCAACAAAAACAATTAAATTATTTACTTCTTATTAAATTAAAGAGAGTAAATATTTAAGTTTACTTTAATTTATCAGGTTGAAACAATATTTAAAAATTTAAATCAAACTGCCTAACTGGTTTTTATTTTAATTTTTTGTTTGAAATTAAATAATTAAAATTTCAGTATTTTTAATATTTTTAACCAAATTTGATAGAAAAATAAATTAAATTTTGATTAATTAATAAACAATTGTTTTATTTTGTTATAAATAAGAAAGAATAATTAGTTTTAAAAGTTCATTAAATAAAAATTTATTTTTTATTAAATTAAAAATAATTAATTAATTAAATGAATTATTTTCTTTTATTTTTATTTTTGTTAATTAATTTTTGTTATTTCACAAACGGTGAAAAAGCAACAATTGAACAATGTGAAACTGCGATGGAATATTTTATAGGTGATAACTGCGTGTATGTTATTAAATTATATTAAAAATGTTTAATTTATTCTAAACACTAATAGTTTCATTTACTAAATAAAAATTTATGCAATAATATGCATAAAAATCCGCCCTCTACTAATTATAATCAAAATAATTGATATTTCTTTGCCTTTTTTTCTTAAAATCTTAGATAAGAGTTTTTTGTATTTTTATGTTTCTCAGCCTTTTTTTAATTAAAATTCACTAAACTACATATTTTAATAATAAATCCTAGATGCTGGACTGATTATAAAGAATGCATACGCTCATTAATAATTAATGACGTGTGTAAAATTTCAACATTTCCTACAAATTTTATTGAAACGGATTGTACGAAAATGTATTCTAAATGTTCTTTAACGAAAAATGAATGCGAACTTGGTATCTGTGGATGCAATGAGTAGGGAGTTTTAATATTTATTTTTTAAATTATTAAATGACTATATGTATTTTTGAATATAAATTCAAAAATTTTATAAAGAATTTGAAAAATATTTTAACACTACTTTGATAATATATAAATATAAAATTAAAGTGTGTCTGTTGATTGTTTAATCCAAAAGAAATGTGGAGATACAACAAGATTGCTCGACAGTCCAACATCAGATAAACGTATATTTTAATAAAAAATATTTTTATTTTTTTATTTTTTAAATTTAAATAATTAGGCGTTCGAGCATCCGATACAATTTTTGATTTTAACAATTTATTTGATGAACGTTTTGAAAAAATTGAATAAAGAACGTTTGAATAAATTACAGAAATATATTTTTAGATTAATGAAGCCTTTTATAATTACTGCTTAAAAGTTCAATTAGAAATTTTACTTTGTAAAACTTATTCGGTAATCCTCGTCGGGAAAACTTTTTGTGTTAATGCAAGGGAATAAAATTCATTACAATATAACATAAGAAAAATTTTTTCTGAAAAATATATACCTAAATATTAAAACTCGTTCTAATAATAAATATACAAAATTTGATCGATTTATTTCTCAAAATATTCGAGATCATCAGCAATATCACAAAAGAAATTTTTCCGAAAATATATTTTAACCAAGGAATTTAATTGTTTTGATAGATATAGTACACCAGCGTTCGGCGCGAATTGCTGACAAGTAACTAAGCTTTTTGGGTATAAAGGCTGACTCCAGCGTTATTACAACTGATTTAAATTGATTTGGGTCAATTTCCCAGTGTTTGAAAACTTCAGACTCAAATATCCATTCTCAGACTTAAGTGACACCTTTGAAAATATCTTCATTCGATTCCTCATTCAATTCCCTATCGAATGACACCTCAAGCGTCTTTCTATGACTAATACTTCAAAAGTTATAAATTTTTGAAAAAAAAACAAAAAATAATAGTAATAACATGCGGGCCTTCGGCCCGCATGTTAATAATTAATACTAAAATATTTTTCAGATTCTCGCGGTTGCCTCCGGCAACGCGTTTAGTGCAACGCGTTCAGAATTTAAAAAATTGAAATTCTGGCGGTTGCCTTCGGCAACGTATTCTTTGCAACGCGTTACATGCGGGCCTTCGGCCCGCAATTTTTCTGCAACGGGTTCCGAGTTAAAAAAATAATTTTTAATTCTGGCGGTTGCCTCCGGCAACGCGTTTAGTGCAACGCGTTCCGAATTTTTAAAAATAATTTTTAATTCTGGCGGTTGCCTCCGGCAACGCGTTTTCTGCACGCGTTCCGAATTTTTAAAAAATAATTTTTAATTCTGGCGGTTGCCTCCGGCAACGCGTTTTCTGCACGCGTTCCGAATTTTTAAAAAATAATTTTTAATTCTGGCGGTTGCCTCCGGCAACGCGTTTAGTGCAACGCGTTCCGAATTTTTAAAAATAATTTTTAATTCTGGCGGTTGCCTCCGGCAACGCGTTTTCTGCACGCGTTCCGAATTTTTAAAAAATAATTTTTAATTCTCGCGGTTGCCCCGGCAACGCGTTCCAAATTTTTAAAAAATAATTTTTAATTCTGGCGGTTGCCTCCGGCAACGCGTTTTCTGCAACGCGTTTCGATTTCCTCAAAAAATAATTTTTAATTCTGGCGGTTGCCTCCGGCAACGCGGTATCTGCAACGTGTTACGAATTTTTTAAATTAAATTAAACGTAAAATTAACTTATAAATTAATTTGCCTTATTTTTATAAAATTTTATAAAAATTTTCAGTCCCAGACTGAAAGTTATAAATGAGACTCAAGTGTACTTTTTACTAAAAATTCATTTTTTAATATTCTTATTAATTTTTAGAATTTTTTAAATTCATTTCCACTGATTTTAGCATTCAGACTCAAATATTCCACCCTCAGACTCAAGTGACCCCTTCAAAAAATTTTCAAAAAATTCGCTTGATTTTTACACGTCGAATGACACCTCAATCATATTTTTCCGATAACTACTTCAAAAGTTACAAAAAACGCCTCACCGTTGCTTAACTTTCCAGATCGGACGGGTTAGATCGGCAAATTTAAAAATTTTTCCCCAAAATTTTAATTTCTTAAAAAATTCATAACTCGGTCCAAAAAAACACATTTTAACATAAAACAAAGCTTATTCGATGCAGAATTTAATTCTCTATCTTTCATTTCCCAATACTTTTCTTCTATCTCCAAAACAAAATATAGTTAAGGTCACTTATATGCAACTTCCTCAAAAACGCACTTTTTACTCCATATCTTTTTTTCCATTAATCCAATCAACATGAAACCAACTTTTTTCTTAAGAAATCCACCATGCTCTACAACTTTTCTCCCAACCACTTTTTTCTCCGACTCCTCTAAACACCTTAAATCCAATGTTACCACTTTGACATAAAAGTTTGTCTTCAGCACATCTACCCTTCCCGTTGTCCGAACGACTTCAACTCTTTTTCTATCATATTCGAAATATGCTCTAGATGATACCTTGTAACTGACCCAACTTTCCCCGACTTCATCTTTCATCTCAAATTTCACTTCAAAGATTCGAAAAAACACGTTTTTTCAAAATATCTCGTTTTTTCGCTTCTTGACCCCCAATTTTCGGATTTTTCCTGAAAACTACATTGTATTGCGCATCTATAGCTTTTTTCCCCACCCCTCTACGACTTTTCAAAACCCCGGAGGACTTTTTTTTAGCTGAGTGCCTTTTTACTATTATATATAGATAATATTATTGATATGGGGAATTATCTAAGATGGGTAATTAATCGAGAAAATACTGTATAAATTTTTAACTCAAGCAGTGAACTTGATTGCCTGTTTTAGAATCTTCAAAGGTATTATCTTGGTTTTAAAACATTTACACAGACCGGAAGAATATTTGATTAAGTTAATTGGCGATGTTCTAGTTGGATTGCTGATTCGAATTAATTCCATTAAGGAAATTAGAAAAATGCGTGGTTGGAGGGATCCCTCTCCTGTCTTTACTTTTAAGATAGTGAACGTTTAACTAATTTAATCAAAAATTATTTCAGATGATCTTTTACACAATAAATAAATATTCCAAAGAATTCTTGCACATAATTTACAAGAGTTTTACCTCTTTTAAAAGAAAAAAGAACAAATAAAAGCACACGCTTTTGGAAGGTGGACATTTCCTGTTTTTTTTTCTTTTGTTTATTTTTTGTTCTCTCGGCCTATTATTTTTTTGTATTTTATAATATTTCCTCTTCTAGTACACAATACGTGTTTGTAATTACAAAAAGACTGGTCCAAATATTTAGATCAGGCAAAAAATATGAAACATTATTCAACCATTTTATGTTATTTTCAATTTATCCAAAAATAATTTTCACATTTAAAATAAAATTTTAAAATTGAAACTTGGTAACCAATCTATTGCTATTATAAGTAAGATGACTTTATGACAATATCTCTTTAAAAAATTGAAACCGTGAAATTCCACTAAACAATTTTTAAATTTTTAAATTTGTACAATATTAAGCTTTTTCACGTATATACATATTATTAAAATAAATTTTCCAGTATTAATTTGGTAGTTCCCCACGCCCTCTTTTTTCCCATATTCCTGACTAGTATGCAGTAGTGTTAGTCACGAGACGATATATCGACGATATTTTTCGAGATATCGCGAGATTTTTTTCGAGATTATCGATCTCGATCTCGTCTCGATCAATTTTTGAAAAAATCGAGATTTTTCGATATCGAGATTTTTCGAGATTATCGATCTCGATCTCGTATCGGTCCGTAGTAAGAGACGTCTTTGACTACAGGCGATCACTTTTGAGTCCAGAAATGCAGGAATGTTAATTTTTCTGAACCAAACACTTCCATTGATTCATTACAAATACTAAATTTATTATACTATTTATTCACTATTTATAAAAAAATTTTGGACCGAGATTTTTCGATATCGAGATTTTACGAGATTATCGATATCGATATCGTCTCGATCAATTTTTGGAAAAATCGAGATTTTTTCGATATCGAGATTTTTCGATAATCTCGATCTCGATCGAAGCTCGTACCAAAATTCGTACTCGTACCTCGTACTTGTACTCGTACCTGGTACGAAGTAGCCTTCCAAGATTCAAAAACTATCGCACAAACGCTTAAAATTTAAAACTAGATGTCCTGGAATCAGAAAAATCATAAAAATTTTAGATTTTTTGATTTATTCTCAAGTACGAGTAAGTACGAGGTACGAGGCCTAAAATAAGGGTAGTACGAAGTACGAGTACATGCAAAATCGAAATTTCGAAGCACTGCTAGTATGAGCTTTTTGCTTGCTATATATTTTATTATCGTTAGGGGTTTCTTTAGTTTTTGTTGTTGGATGTAATTTTGTTAAAGGTTTTTGGGCTGTTTTTGGGTTTTAAACAAATAATTTTTCGAATTTTGTTTCAAATTTAATTTAACATTTAATTACTATAATTTTAAAGAACATTTTTGTTTCCACCATGTTTTTAGGTCATAAAGTGGTTGAAAAAAAATTTAAAAAAATTTCAAGTTACTTATGGGATCCACTTATTGTGATTGTAAAAACATTTTTAAAAAATTATTTTGAAAATAATTCCAGAAATAACAAGCAACCAATTCTTATTTTTATTTTTTACATTATCCGATTATTAAGCCAATATAACTAACAAAAAAGTTTTTTTCCTCTGTTTATCAAAAATTAAGAGGATAATATTAAATATTATATTTAAATCAAGCTTAAAGCTTAAGTCAATGTCGTACGTGTTCGTTCTATTAAATATATGTATTTTGTTTGCAGGAAGAGGGGAAAGTATACAATAGGGGGTGACTGGAGAACTACTTAATTTTTTTTCTTGTTTACTGAGAGAAAAAAATAATCTGTCAAATAATCCAGTGCTTTTAATCAAAACATTAACTATATAAAACTTACAATACATTTAAATAAGCTTTCAGTATATATGTACATTATTAACTTGTTTGATTGAATATATTCCCTTTTACATTAGTTATTAAATTCCAAATAATGGATGGCATAACTTCTAAATGCTAGAGCATTGGACATTGGTAACATAAAGTGAGACTGGGCTACAGGATGCAGCTTTTACCATCCCTTTTACTATAACTGGTAGCTAGCTGGATCTCCCTTCTTCCTTACAATAAAAGAGGTTACTGTCCATATACGTCCTATCTAGAATTTTTTGTGTACAAATAAACAATAATTGTGTAATTAATCTTGACAAGAACCAAAATGCTTATAGGTTAGGAAACTTGCCCGAAGGCCAAAAACTTTTGTTTAATATTTTTATAGAATATTTAAGGAAATTATGTCATTATTATTTTCAATTATATTTTTATTCACCTCAATTAATCAACTACTGATTAAAGCACAACAACAACAAAATTTAGCTGTCCATGAATTACCCCTTCCAACACCCATAATTTTGGAAGATGTTAATTTAACTTCAACATCCTTCCCAAATTCTTTAAATTCAACTTCAAGTCTAGGCACAACCGCCCCATTAACCTCCCAATTAGCCAAACCTCCTTCTGAAGTCGAGAGAATAAATAGAGAAACTGGGACAACAATGGCAGGAATTCATCAACAATTAGATAATCAAAGTAATAGTGAAAAAACAAAAATAAATTCAGAAAAGAATTTAACGACTGGAAATGTTGCTAGACGCTCACCAAATCCATCTACAAATTATGAAAATGAACATAGACACAGTTTGAAACCAGAAACTAAAGGTAAATAAGCACTTAATCATGAAAAATCGAGAATTGAGAGTTATGCCGTTTTACGAAGATATTGGTCAAACAAGATTTTAAGTCTCGTATCTAAAGGCGGAGGTTATCTAATATCAGGGGCGTACAAGTCAAATTTCGTATTTTTAATTGTCGGTCCTTTGCTTTCGTTTTTTTCTGTGGTTTTTGAAATTGTTATAGCAGTCTAGTGTAGATACATACGTACATATGTATATCCGGAGGATATATGACTTTTATAAGGATATCTTTTGAGGAGTTTTTGACTCCCCATTCAAAAATATATGGTTACAGCACTGGATGCGCTCTTACTAATGAACTTGAATTAGCATGCAAACATAAATTATTTATCGAAATTTTATATATTAAGTATGATAAATGTTAAGACGCTTTATAAATGTTGTTTTGTATAGATGAAATGTTTGCAAGAATGGATTCTGATGGGGACAATATGATAACATTACAAGATTATATGAATAGAGATCGTTATTATGTTGAGTCTGTCAAGGCAGAGTTTAACGACATTGACACAAATGGTTTTTTAAGCTTTTAAAATCAAAGCTGAAATTATTCAAAAAATTGATAAGGTGATGGAATGGTTTCTAAGCATGAATTTGATGCTTTTGTTCGTCGATTAGATGAACAGAGGGAGGCGGCAATGAGAAATGCATCCAACTTTACCCTACAGGTCTTATTCTTAGAAGTTTAGAATTTCATTTACACTTTTTTATTTATCAATGTCTGCAAGTCGCTTCGTTTTAGGGTTGAAGGATCCAGAAAAAATCGTGCTATCTGAAACTTTTCGGATCAGATAATGACCCAAATATTCGAAAACTACATATGTTAAGTAAAAATTGAGTGTTAAAACACTCATACAAAAATAAGGAAGATACAAATCGAGTATATAAGATATACTTACAGCTTATTATTCATTTATAAAAAAAAGTATTTTGAATTAAATATATTATGTAGATCATTTAATAGTTAATATCAAATAAATCGTTCAAATTGATCAAAAAGTTTTTTTTATCTAATTTAATAAATTCCAAAATGTTTTCTACACTTATACTTTTCAGAGAAACGATGCAAATAAAGACGGGGAATTGAGTGAAGAAGAGCTTGGGGCATACATTAAAGGAACACTACAAAGAAATATAGCTAGATTACCTCAAGTTTTTAATCAATTTGATAGAGATGAAAATGGGAAACTTAATTTGGAAGGTTGGGAGATTAACAAAAACTTCTTTGAAAATTCTCAAAAGTTTTTCAGAATTTCACAATCTCGACTTCAACTTTCCTTGGGAAAAGTTTCCTCTATCTACTGAACAATCACCCAATAATAATCATCAACAGGTCCAATTACTTCGTAATTTTCACATAATTTATATAATTTTTTCTAGCTTCCCCCAACATTCTTCAGTGCTAACGGCCCCGTTCCACCTCCCTTTGTTAATGAACAAGCAGCAGCTGCAATCCCTTCTGATTTCAGTTCTTCACCTTCTATGGGAGGCCTGATGCATTCATTGCCTGTTCCACAACCAATTAGAATTAATTAAATTGTTTAAATAATAGATTTAAATAAAAGAATTGCATTTTGAAAGATCGTAAACGTTGCGGACTGATATTTGCTGACACCTCCAAAATTTCAATTTAATATAACTGTTATAAAATTTAATTACAAATGATGATTTATACTTGAGTATGACAAATTATAGTTTTTAGTCTTGTCCTTAATATCAATCCGCTTATGTCTGGCATTCACAAAATAATTGATAAAATATTTTAAATAATTATTTAAAATTACTTTAAATAAAATGAAAACGCCTAATATTTTAAGGACGCGTAGTTCCTTCTTTTGGATTTCTGAATCCTGATTGATCTTGGTTATGATTTTGGAAAGCTAAGAAGCCAAAATTTATATACATATTCTGCGTTATTTGTGCACTAGGCTGCGCTATAAATTATCTTATAGAAGACAAATTATTACTTTTGATTTTAGTTCAATTTTTATAATTTTGATTTACTTTGTAAAATTTACACAAAAATAAAAACAAAATAAAAACATATTTTTCATAATCAATTTTTTAAAAATTTTATCGTTTCTTGATTCCTTTTGAATTTCTATTTGCTCTCTTCTTCAAATAATATCCCCGTTGTTTTTGGCCACAAGGATTACATAAATAATGACCAAGTTCAGAATGACGTCGCCATACTTTTGTTTGTATAACCCCGCAAATATGACATTGACGATTGAGCTTAAATTTAAAAATGCTATCCGGCTAATGCTTCTAGTTGAGCCCTCAAAGCCAATATATTCTTTATTAATGATCAAATTTTTAGTTAGCCAAAAAAAATAAAAATTCATCATTTCTGCCGGAGTAGTGAAAGTTTACACAACAAAATTAGGATTTCGGAATATCTCTAAGGTCTCAACTGGCTCAATGCTCAACTGCCCTATCTATCAACTGACTCTGCCCGGAAACTTCCATAATTTTTCTCTCATACACAGTTTACACATCTTGATACGAGTTTCTTAGTTCTAGCTATGAATACTCTTTTAATCATGCCTCGATAATGTATAATTAATATAAAGAAAATTACACAATCATCGATAAATATTTACCTTTAGAATATCAAGGCATAATTGATAATTAATATTTCTATTCCTTCCATTATTTCTTTTATATTGGAAACAGGCATCACACAAAAAATGTTCTTTAATATATCGGTGACATCTTCTACTTTTTGTATCTTCACAATTGAAACAATGTCGTTTATTACTATCATTAATTTCGCCTATAAAAATTAGGAATAAAAAAGTATTTACTGAGGTTGTTTCAAAAATTTAGGGACACGGGTAAAATTTGAAAAGATAATTTTTTTCAAATTGAAAAGATAATTTTTTCAAATTTTAATTATAATATCTGTTACAAGAAAACGTGGAATTTTTTACGATGGATTATTTCCTGTTCAATAAATGATATGATAATTTTACGGATACGAAATGTTTATTGTTTACCGTATTTGCTAGAATAATTCCCTGGCGTATTTGCTAGAATAATAATTATCAACCTCTATCTGGAGGGGGTAATTGAAAGGGCGAAAGACTAATTATAACTATTTTTAAGAGGGGTAATTATTTTTCGACTCTGGCTGTAGGGGGTAATTAATAGGGCTGGGGTAATTATTTGAGAGAGGGACATTAGTTCAGCATTTACGGTATATGAATTTACTTATTTTATTGCCAACATAAATAATTCTGCTTTCTTCTAAAGAATATTCAACTTTTTGTTTTTCTAACAATTCAATTTTATATCCAACTAAATTAATTTCCGTCCAATAACTTGACAAAAGTTTGTTTTTATAGGATTCTAAATTTTCTTTTAATAAATTCTTTTTGTCTTTAATTGATTTCAAATTATTATTATTTATTTTTGTATTTTTTAATAAACCTTCATCTAATATATTGGCTTCATAATAATTATTATTTTTAATAAAATTATTATTTATGAGAACCTTAAATTTAGGACAAAGTTAGTGCCCTAAACGAAATAAGGATCGAATCGTTTTTTCTTTATTTTTTTTTATTTCCTTAAAAATGGTTACTTTTCATTGGTAGTTTATGTGTGTTAGTGTTTGCCTCCTCCGGAGTGGCCCTTTTGCCCTATGTATTTTCTCATTTGCCTTATTTTTGTCCTATTTTTACCATTTTATAAAATTTTTAAAGTTCTAAAAATTTTGGAAACGAAATGTCTGAAAATGGAATAAATCTATCTTCAAACCTTACAAAATTCTCGAGTGGGATAAAATTCTCGAGTTGGGGTGATTTAGAATTATTAATAGAATCAAGTTGTTAAAGAATGAGGGATTAAAGGGGTTATCGAAATAAGAGGATTCCCAATCCCAATATTTCCGAAAAATCTTGGAGCCCAAATTTCCGAACATCATGAAATACCCGTTTTCCAAATTGAGGCGACGAAAATTTTTGTATAATTTCATTATTGGCTATTTCAATAACAATTTTCTTTTTCAATTGAATTTTTGGTTTATATTTTGAATTAGCATCATTATATATTTTTGTAATAAAAATATTTTTATCAATGTCTGATTTTAATTTACGCAAATTTTCAATTTTATAATTTTGTGTAACATATGCACTCTTTTTATTTTTATCAACAGTTTTCAATACAAAACGTTCTTTTAACTTTTTTAGATAAATAAATTCCCTTTTTTCTTTCCAATTATCATTTATTTTTAATCTAACTAATCTTCCGTTGCATTTTAAATTTAAATTAATATTTAAATATAATATAAACAAAATAATAAATTTAATCATCTAAAATTAATTATAAAATAATGTTTAGTAATTTAATTATAATAATTAGGGATGGGATTTATATGAACTATTAAAAAATATGGACATATAATATGGACTAAAAAATATGGACTGAAATATGGACCGAAATCCAAAATATGGTCAAATATGGACCGAAAACTGAAAATTTTTACCGGAAAGATTTTCAATTTTAAGCAGAAAATGTTAAATATAAGTTAATTTTGAAATAAGTTAATATTGAATTTGACAAATAAATCAATTTATCGTAGTTTTCTGTTTACGAAAATAATTTGGATAATATATGGGTGGCCAACTAGTTGAAAAATTTTTGTAAAATTTTTTGACAAAATTTTTCGAAAATTTTTTTTAATTTTTATAAAAAAATTTTTGACCAAAAATTTCAAAGTTGAAAATTTTAATCAATTTTTGGCAAAATTTTAAAAAATGACGAAATATGGATAAAATATGAAAATATGGACGGAACTCCAAAAATTGAAAAATATGGATTGATAACTCAAAAACGACCTTATCAACATATACTAAAACAACGTTTTTGTGCGTTTCAAGATCCAACTAGGCCAGGAAAAAATATAAATAATTCGAATGACATATAAATCGTCCAATTCTGAGCCATGTACGGAAACTGTAGTTAGGCCCCCAGCAGCTTTACTCTATTTTATATTTTAATCGTGGATAGCGCAATTGATTATTAAAGTGCGAATATGTATAAATAAAAATAAGTCGGCAAATTTTATTATGTAATATTTCTTTAATCTTTTTTCAATAAAAATATAAAAGTACATAAAAACAATTTCGAAAGAATCTGCATTTTTGTTTCACGTGAAGTCTGTTAAGTCTAAATTATGATGCAAGTAAATTTCTGATGTTGAACAGCGTGATCCTCTTGCCTTATTTTGGAGATATTTGCTCCCTCCTTGGCATTTTCTAGAAAAGAACATTCTTATTTGAGTCCCATTTTATGTTTTCCTGCCGCCAGATTCCCTTCTATTTTTTATATTTTAAAAAAGGAATTTTCGGTTAGTTTTTTATCATCTTTATCCAAAAATAATTGTAGTTTTTCATCAATTATGCGGCTTAAAAACTTGAATTAAATTATCAAAAGCAGAATTTCTTCCAGGCATATAATCTTCTTAATTCTGACCCTGATTTGTTCAATTTAGTTTAACCGAGCTTTTATTTAAAATTTTAATTATTTTTAGTTCCCCCTTCTTTGCAACCTTTCTGATAGGCCATGCCCCCTTCTGGTGATTTTTAAAGGGCTGCCCTGATATTCCTCTATAATTAATTTTAAAATCAAATTTATGTTAACTCTTTTTCATTAAAGTTATAAATCCAGTAGCTTCCCCTACCTATTAATGCTTAAATTTAAATAATTAAAAGTATAATTTAATTTTTTAATTTTTTAATTATTTTTATTTTTTATCTTTTTTTATTTTATTCTTCTCGTTATTTTTCTTTTCATTCCCTTTCCTTTACTAATCAATTTTTATTTAGCGTACATTGGACACATTTTGTTAGTATTTTTTGTTTAAAATAAATATTTAGTAGAAGTAAGTATGTACTACATATTTGTACTTTTTTCAACATTTTTATAACTAATTTATTTTATTTTGTTATCATAAATTATTTTAATAAATATTCTTCATTTTTATTTTTAAATTAATTAATTAACACATTTGTATTTATTGAGAACCAAAATTTCGATAGAGTTTTCGTTTTATTTTATACATCCTAACTCGAAAATTTATAAATTCTTCTTTTTTGTTTTTCATGTACTTAAATGGAGAATTATTTAATTTGCTACAAAATAAAAAAATTTTTTAATTTAAATTAGAGTCCGGCAAAATCGCATTCCCGGGATCCCGTAACGGGATTTTTTTTTCAAAATTGTACGGGATGGGATCCCGAGGGATTAATCCCGTAAATCCCGGAATCCCGGTAATCCCGTTCTCAAATTTGCCGGGATCCCGCCGGGATTCCAAGATTTTAACAAAAAAATTTTTTAATTATAAATATGTTGAATATCGGCGGATTTGGAAATAATATCGGTGGATTTCGACGGATTAAGGAAGGAATGAATAATAACAGAGGATTGAGAGGGATATCAGTGGATTAAGAGAGATTAAGAGCATTTGAATGCTTATAAGTGGATATACCTCTTAATCCATAACTCCCTGACAACCATATTTTCCTCCAAATCTCCCTTAATACTCGTAATCCATGCACCACATGCAAAACTTTTCGAATTTTGAAAGGAAAAGCCAATGGAAGGCTAAGAAGCCAGTTTCTTCCTTTTTAGCATATTTTGGAAGCTCAAGTCGCTAGATTTTTTCATATTTCAGCGTCGCAGTCAAAAATTTTGAGCATTTTGAAGGGTCAAGAGGCCCGATTTCTTCCTTTTTCACCGCCGAAGGCGAAAATTTTGAGTATTTTGGAAGCCTAAGAAGCCAGATTTCTTCCTTTTTCAGCGCCGCAGGCAGTTTACTGAAGAAATTATCAATCCCGTAAATTTGAAAAAAATTCCCGGGATCCCGGGACGGGATTGGGTTTAAAAAATTCGACCTGGACGGGATCCCGCGGGATTACTCCCGTAAATCCCGTAATCCCGGTAATCCTGTTTTGCGCAAAAAATCCGGGATTCCGGGACGGGAATCCCGTGCGGGGTCTCGTCCGTGCCGGTCTCTAATTTAAATAAATATTTTGACTAAAAATCCCTTCAAAAAATAGTAGCATTTTTAGAGAAACATGTTTAGTTTTTTGGCCATAATTATTTTTTAAATTTTAAATAAAATTTTGTTTTTATTTTATTTTGTAGAGAATTTAATTCCCTATTAGATTTTGTAAAAATTTAAATAAAATATTTTTTTTATTTTTGAGTTATTAATAATTTTAGTTAAATGAGACGTTCAATACTTGCTTCTCTTTCAAATTATTTTTATTTTGGATTTAATTATCCCTCAAATATAAATAAATGCAGCATTGTTACAATTCGAAGGACTCATACTAAATGTAAATTTAAAATAAAATACTCTGAAACAAAAATTTTCCTTTTAAGTTGTCAGTGAGGAGGGAATAATCCGATCAGAGTTTGTACCGGTGCCTATAGCTACAGTACCTATTCATGACACTCTTTTGGATGCTATTTGGAAACACTCATTGAGACAGCCGGGAAAGGCTGCATTTGTAAATTAATTAATTAATTAAAAAAAGAATTTTTGTATGTAAAGTCGAATCTCGATATAACTAAATCAAAAGTATCGAGGAAAATGTTTATTGTTTTGGGAGGTTTGTTAAATCGAGGTTCGACTTTATCAAAAAATCTTTTGTTTTAGTAAAGACACACAAGACAATTACTTTTTGACAATCATTTCTTTCCATGTTTTGAAAAGTTAGGAAAAGAATCGGGTTTTCAGTTCCAAGTGATTCCAAAATTTTGACAATTCCACTTAGTACGGCATTATTCAATAAGTGCTTGTTTGTTAGTAACCTTGTAAAATTATCTTTTTTGAAGTTTAAAATAAAATTCGGCTCTTGTTCAGTTCATGCGTCCCATGAAGATTTGTGCGTCCCAAGAGAATTTATGAGTCCCATAAAAATTTATGCGTCCCAAAATTAATTTATGCGTCCCATAAAAATCTATGCGCCCCAAAAATAATTTATGCGGTCCATAAAAATTTATGCGTCCCGAAAATTATTTATGCGTCCCATGAAATGAATTGAAAAAATATTCAAATATGATAAATATTCATTATTCCCTCAAATTCCTTTATCAAACCTTAATCCAATAATATGTTTTAAATCTCACTTGATCAATCCGGAAACCATTTTATCATCCGATATCGATCCTTTATATCCCCAAAATTCACTTTTGCCCCACCAATCAATCGGATTATATCTCTTTAATCCTCGAAAAATTTTAGGTTAAAATTTTGGTTAACCGAAAGCTGTTCGGTTTTGTTTATCGAAGAATCAAGTGAACCGACAACACTACTTAGAATAAATAAGATAATTCAATGAGTCTCTTATTATTTTTCCAAATATAGGGGAAAAATATTTTAGGGGTGAGTACTATTTTTAGGGGGAGTACTAATTCAGGGGTGAGCACTATTTTAGGGGGAGTACTAATTCGGGGGGGGGGGAGTACTATTTTTCAACCCTCCTCCAAAGGGGAGTATTATTTAAGGGAGGAGTAATAATTCAGGGGGTGTATTACTTTAGAAATACCGTATTTGATTAACAAAGAACAGTATTATTGATTGACAAAAGATTTTTCAATTTATTTCTTGGGACGCATAAATTTTTAAGGGACGCATAAATTATTTTTGGGACGCATAAATTATTATGGGACGAACAAACTATATTTGGGACTCATAAATCTTCATGGGACGCATAAATTTTCATGGGACGCATGAACTGGACAAGAGCCTAAAATTCGTTCTATTTGTGAGCTAAAAATTTTTTAAATATTTTTAGATTAGTGCCGAATACCCAGAACAACAAATTACATTTGCAGAATTTTTACTCCAATGCCATTCTATTGCTCAATTTTTAGATTCAATAGGAGTAGGAAAGGGAGAAGTTGGGGGTGTTGTTGTACATAATTGTTGGCAATTTCTTGCAGCGTTTATAGGCGCTTCAATGCAGGGAGGGTGTATTAGTGGTGCTAATCCACAACACAATGAAGGTAAAATAATAGAAGAAAATCAGTAATTCTCGCTAACGTATATAGTGTATTAATTCCGTCCTTCAAATAATTATCCCGCCTTTATAAATCACCCGGGGTAGTTAAATACAGTATATACCAGGGGTGGCGCAAGTGCCCAAAATGCGAGATACGAGACGTGCGCTACCCTTGGTATATACGATGGTTTCCAATAATTATTACTTCAAGTTAGGGCAGGAGATATTTTGTTGAAGATAACAACTCGCTCCACATATTTAATAAAAGTTTGATTCGATTCTTATATTCGAGCTATTATTCGATAGAAAACTTCAAAAATTCCCTTTCTTCTCGAATTTTTATATTTAACTCTTTCTAGGTTCACAGTAAAAAATTTAATGATTTGATTAATTTTAAAATATTTTAAAGAAGAATTAGCATATCAATTCAACGAAACTAAATGTCGTGTTGCTTTCTGCTCTGACTTTTTATTTGATAAAATGAAAATTGTTATGCAGAAATGCCCTAGTCTTAAGGTAAAGCTCCTCAAATCGTAAAATTATCGGCAATATTTAGTTAAAGCTTAACCAAGGCTATACATCCTTATCGGTATCCAATCAAAATTTCAGTTATCGAATCGATATTTTTCAAGATATCGATCTCGTTCTCGTCTCTGACATTCACAGTCCGGTCTCCATTTCTCAAGTGTTTTTGGATTCATTTAGATCACATTTGATTTAATTTTGCCCGATTAAAACAAGGAATAACCCGATTTTATCAATCTAGTTAACCAATTCCTTTAATTAAAATTAAAATTAATTATTTTTTTAAAAATTTTTAGCACTTGGTGCTCATTCCAAGTCAATATCCTCCAATTTATCAAAATTCATTACCTCCAAACGTTCACAATTGGACTGATATTATCCAAAATCGCCCCAATATTGAAAGAAAAATACCAGAAATTAATATAGAAAAAGATTTTGCTTATTTGCCTTTTTCTAGGTTTTTAAAAAATTTTAAAATTCTTTCAAAAAATTTTTTAAGCGGAACTACGGGTCCTCCGAAAGGTGTTATGCTTTCTCATAAAAATGTTGGCACAATTCTTAACATTTTTAATACGTGAGTTTAATTGTTTTATATTTAATGAATAGCTTATCTTAAATGTTTTTATATCCGACTTGAATTTTGTAAAACTTTAAGTAAAATAGGCTCTTGTCCAGTTTATACTTCCCATAAAGTTGATATTGAATTCTCTTTGTTTTTTGAGGTTGGACCTGGGTCTGTACGTTCTTTGCTTTTGGCCTATAAACGTTTAATGTAAATATATCCAATACAAAAGAATGTTGCAGAACCGGTCCATCATTGATAGACAAAATCCATTATAATTATATGTATACTAGACAATAGCCTTAAAAATCTCGAAATTTACTTGCCTTTATAATTTAACTATTTAGCCATTTTGATGAACGTGTATGTCACCGAATTTCATTTAATTGGGACTGGAAACGGGAATATACACTTTTAATGTTGCCATTATATCATAGTGAGGGAGATTTAATTTAAATTGGGTATTTAAATAATTTTTTAGTTTACGGGTTTATTCTTGGTTTAAATTGTTTATTTACTGGTTCTACTGGTATTATGATGAAAAAATTTGATTTGGATTTGTATTGCAGAACTATTCAAGAATACAAAGTAAATAAATTAAAGATTTTGGGAGGGCTAAATAAAATGTGAAGAATTTAGTTTACCTAATTTAATCTAGTCTAATAGAGACTTTTGGGTGAAACACTGTTAAAAATTTAATGCTCCATCATTATTCAAAATTCTCTCAGAACCTTTAATTATCACATTTAATTTTGAAACAATATAGGGGAAGGGGACAACAATAAACCATATTTTAACCTTGAATAGGGGAAAATGTTCTTCCATTTCCGAAACAGGACAATAGCTACTAATAACCATTTCGATTTACTAAAAGATTTCTAAAAACTCTCCTTCTCTAAAAAATAATAAGTTTCAATATTATCAAAAAATATTTCTCTTTTTTCTAGCTCAAATATGCAACATTAGTTCCTCCAATACTTGTATTATTAGCAAAAAGTCCAAAATTAATTTCACGTTATGATTTGTCTTCACTTCGTTTTATAATGACTGGAGCTGCCCCAGTAGCTGATGAAATCTGCACAGAAATTAAAAAATTAATTCCCTCTGTTGCACAAATAGCCCAAGGTTATGGAATGACAGAACAGTCAATGTGCTCGCATTTACCCGTTTTTGGAATGGATAACCAAAAAGCTGCTGGGAGATTAAATCCAAATTTTGAAATGAAAATTGTTGATATTGAAAAGGAAATTACTTTAAAGCTTGGGCAAGTTGGGGAGATTTGTACTAGAAGTCCAACTAATATGGTGAATTATTAAGACTAGTACGGTTATAATGGTGACACTAATATGGGACTATGACTGGTCTAGATCAAAATTTTCTTTTATTTTGAATGAGAACGAAATAAAAACTAAGTGAAAATGACATGAAAGGGCGGAACAAAATAATATTTCGGGCAGTCCTTAGTGGGACTCCAGGTTTTTAACTAGGGTTGCCGGCCAAATTCGGAAGTTTTTGGCCTGAAAAAGACTCGAACGGCTCGGTACGATAAAAACGAGGCCCGGAGAACGTCTGCCCTGTTCGAAAACGCCAACTCTATTCTTGTTGTTTGGAAAATATTTGGGACCCTGTGGACAAAATTATTTATAAAAAATTTTTAGCTTGGATACCTAAACAGACCGGATGCAACAGCAGAAACTATTGATGAAGATGGGTGGCTAAAAACTGGTAAAATACTAGAAACAATGTTTTTAAATATTTTTTCCAAAAGGTGATATCGGTTACCACGACGAACAGGGGTGGACTTATGTTGTTGATAGACGTAAAGAACTGATTAAAGTTAAGGGCCTTCAGGTAGATTCGATTTGTATAAATTTCCTAAAACTTGAGCAACTAAGTTAACCAAAACCAGTTGGATAACTTTTCAGTTCTAAGCAGTGTTTGGAATTAATGCCTGTACGAAGGCTGGCGAATTTTAAATATCCAAACTAGAGATCGGACCGTACCGTACTACGGCCGTATTTTTCGGTATTTATCGGTATTCCGTATCGGTAATACGGTACGGAATACGGTACGGTAAAATTTTGAAGTTGATCGGTATTTATCGGTATCGGTATTTTTCGGTATTCCGTACCGTTTTACGGAACGGAAACAAAACAAAATACCGATAATACCGATCGATAAAAATTTTTTAAGTTTTATTTTATTTTAAGCGAAAAAAGGCTCTCGGCCTTTGATAATTTTCAAAATTTTCGCCTGCGGCGCTAAAAAGGAAGAAATCTTGCTTTTTGGAATTACATATTCTCAAAATTTTCGTCTGCGGGTGTTTATCCCCACAATTTATAAGTAAAAATAATTATATTTAACTAAATTAGTTTTTTAAAATACGGTACGGAATACCGATAAATTTTTATCGGTATTTATCGGTATCGGTATTTTTCGGTATTCCGTACCGTTTTACGGAACGGTAAAATTTTGAAGTTGATCGGTATTTATCGGTATCGGTATTATACGGTATTACGGTACGGAACAAAATTCCGATCTCTAATCCAAACACTGTTCTGTCGGTTCGAGACCGTAAGTTAACTCGAGATTGCGATTTTCCTCCAATTTTCAAATTTACAAATAATGATATAACACAATGCCAGAAATTTAAAACATTTTTAGGTTGCCCCCGCTGAATTGGAAGGTTTATTATTGTCACACCCCGATATTAAAGATTGTGCTGTGATTGGTGTTTCTGATAAATTATGTGGAGAGGTGCCGAAAGCATTTATTGTTCCAGATAATGATAAACTGACTCCGGAAACAGTCAAAAGTTTTTTAAAAGGTTCGACAATTCTATCTGAGAAAAAACAATTCTTTTAGAGTGTTCCTATTCACTGAGGAATGGGGGGTTACTCATAACATTCAGTGCTTGAAAGCTCGTACCAAGATTTGTACTCGTATAATATAATGATATGAGCAAATCTGAAAGTAGTCTAACAAGTATTTCCCAAATTCTAACAGATAATTGAAATAAATTAAAAAGATTCGAGCACCGGGGAATCTTCAAAAGTGTATTTAGATGACTCTCATCCTTCAACCCTACTTTTTATAAAAAAATTTTTCTCAATTTTTACAAATTTTTTCAGAAAAAGTGGCATCTTATAAACAACCTAAATATGTTGAATTTGTCGAAATTATTCCAAAGAGTCCGTCAGGGAAAATATTACGAAGACTTTTACGGGATAAATAGAAAATTATTATTTTTAATTTTCACTTAAATATTTTGAAATTTTGATTTTTTTGATTAATTTATAAAATTAAAATAAAATTATTTAACAATTTAAAAAATATATATTTAAAAATCATTGTTTAATAAATTTAAAATGGCATATATGTAGCAGGGATGGGTCGGGTCGACGATTGCGGCTTTGCGGGTTGAGATTTTTCTCATTTTCTTATATATGGAATTAATTTGAAAAAGTGTATATGGAGTAGGTTAAAAGGAACCCGGAGCCTTTGTTTTTGGTCCAATTTTCAAATAATTTTCTATTTGTATAGCGTCATGTTTGACAGACAAACTGCCAAGAATTGGACAAAAAATCATAACTTCTGTTCAAAAAGCAGGCATAAAAAATTATAAAAATTTAACAAAAATTACTCCGTATACACTTTTTCAAATAATTTCAGATATAAGAATATGGGCAAAATTACAAACCCGCAAATCCGCAATCGTCGACCCGACCCATCCCTGATATGTAGAGAGAAAAAACATTGCTTTTCCTTTTATTATCCTCTTGAACCTTCACCGCTTCTCTCAATTATCTAAAATTAATTTTGTTTAAATTTAAAAATTAGTTGACAATTTAAAAAATAATTTTTAAAAATTCAAAGCACTAATCTATCTAAACCGAAAAAAGCGAAATCTGGCAAAATTTCCCCATTTCTGCAAAATTGAGCATTTTACTCCCAAAATAGCTTCTGTTTAACGATTATTGGGGCACACATATTAGAATGCGCCAAAATCGCAAAACCGAGACTTCAAATTGTAAAACGGGATGAGATCCTGTGGTAATAATCCATGAATCACGGAAATCCCGTTTGTCTCTAAAAATCAGGTATCACAACGATCCCGTAAGAGATCCAGTCCCGTGCTTACTCATTAAATATATTATAGCTCGAAAACCGGAATCCAAATATTCGAAAAATTTTTCTTAATTTTTTTCCAAAATATTCTCTTTTACCTCCATTTTAACATTATTATGGTCCTCTAACAACAAATCATTAAAATGTTGATTATTAGATTTAAATTGCAATCTAGTTCTTTCCCTCCCCGCGAGTTGAGAAGAAAGTTTTGATTGGGCATTAAAATATTCTTTTGGATTAAATAATTCTAAAACAACATTTTGGTGTTTCTCTAAATGTTTTGTTGAGGAGGAGGAAGGTTTTGTTGGAATGTTTGGATTTTTAGAAGGAGAAATGTTTTTGTTGTTTTGAAGAGAAGGGAGAGGTTGTTGGGGTTGGGGTTGTTTGGATGGTTGTTGGGGTTGTTGTTGGGGTAGTTGCTGGGGTTTAGTGTTTGTTGTTGTTTTGATATAAACATTTTGTTTTGGAATTTCTTTTTTTATTTTTGTTGTATTATTTTGTTGAGATGAAGAGGAGGATGTTGAAGAAACAAATTCTTGACATTTATAAGATGAGAGAATGTTTTGAGTCTGAAAATAAGGGGAAATTTGTTAAGAAAGTTTTGCTAAATATTTGTGGCGAGCGACTGACTTTATATTTTTAGATTTAAAAATCTATGAGAATAAATCATACCTCACTTACTGTACCCTAAGTGAAGTCAAAGGGAAGAAAAATAGGGTCTGATGCAAATAAAAGTAGGAGAAACAGGATCAGGAGTGTGCCAGTGTCGCCTTCGTGTTTTAAAATTTGTTTCGACACAAATGTGTCTAACTTTTTAACGAAATATTTCATAAAATATTTTTCTATTTAATTTTAGCTCAGACTTAATAATTAATAATCTAGCTTTATAATTTGTTAGTTTATTAGTAAAATTTTATCTTAAAAATAGAATTTTCAAAGCTTTTAAATTTTTGAGTGATAAAAATTTAAAAAAATTTTAAATTTGAATTTTATAACAAAATAATTCATTTTCATTATTTAATTTTAAAAATTAAAAAAAAATAATTACAGAATTGTGTGGAGCTGCTCCTCTTTTAATCAACACAAATTGAGAGCCAGAGACTACTGGTCTAATATTACAAGAAGAACTTATTTCTGAAGTCATAATAAAAAAATAAAAATAAATTAATAATAAATATTCTGAAAATAAAAAAAAATAATTAGAAAAAAGGTTAAAAAATTAAAAAAAAAGTTCAAGAATGGAAATTAAAATTTAAATTTTGGGGTCTCTAAACAGTGTTAAGATATTTCGTCTGATTCATTATAGGTATATTTCTTAATAAAATAGGTACGTTAAAGGAAGATCAAATCAAGTTGCAAAACCCAAAAAATGTTAAAGAGCCAAATAGGAATCTGTTTGGGTAAAAAAATTTAAAGCCCAAAGAAAATCCCTTATACTTATAAAATCCCTTAATCCCTTATACGGGATGAATAAACTTGGCAATAGCCAAGATAATTAACACGAATTTTTTTTTGAAAATTTCGACTGAATAAAATTTATTTTAACATTATTTAAATAAAAAATTAACTGTCAACAAAGAGAAAATTTTTTTTTAATTTTGTCTATAAATTTTTTAAACATTTTTAAAGGTAAATATACAAAAAAAAAAGTCTCCTTATTAAATAAAAAATTAATTAATTTAAAAAAAAGTTTCAGAAAAAAAATTTTGAAAAAGTGAGAGAGAGAGTATATTGTGTTTGGTGGAAGTGGAAATAAATATTTTATAGTGCAAGAAATAAAAAAAATATAAAAAAAGTGTTGGGGGGGGGGGGGGGGGGAAGGGGAAGGAAGGAAGGAAGTAGAGCGAGCAAAAAAAGGAAAGCGGAAGTAAAATTTTTCTAGTAGCGAGAAAAGAAAGAAGAAATGTGTAGTGGAGGGGGGAATGAGGAAGTGGATATTTTAGAAATTGAGGGAAAAATTGTTAAAATTAAATAAATTGAAAAAAATTATTTATATTAAATTTTATTTAAAGAAAAATTATTATAGAAAGCATTTACTTAATTACTTGAAATAATTATTTCAATAATTTACTGGAGGGATTTAAGTAAATAGGGTGAGGATAATTTTTGAGGGTAATTTTAACCGAGTTTTAAGAGGGCATTTATTGTCTTTGAGAGAAGGGTTTAATTAAAACTAAGAGCAATTAATAAAGTTAAGAGAACAAGGTATTCATATTTTAAAAAATCATAATTATACGGTAGACTCCGTTGAGTGTCTAGATGTTGAGTATCTGAGTTTTATTCTGCCCAAACTTTCTTTGGAGTTCATACATCTATAGTAAATCTGCTGTCAATGGAGATCTTTAAAAGAACCTTTATTCTCAATATTTGGGTAGGAAGATCCTATAATCTTCTAGAAAATTTCAGACAAATAAAGATGGAAATTAAAAGTCAGAATTTCTTAACGTTTTTAAAGAATTAACGTATCGTTTCGAAAACAATCAGAATATAAAATTTTCGAATAAAATAATATTTTTTTTAAATAATTAGAACTAATGTTAGGTAAAATAAATAAAGTTTTAAATTTATGTAAAATACAAGGGGGAAGTATTTAAATTAGTATGTAGTTTGTGAATTAATGAATTAAATATTTAATTTGATTTTTGATGAGGAATTTAATTTTTATTTAAAAATTGTTTTATTAAATAAAAGAAATTCAGGTTTTTTAATATGTATATTCAGTAAAATTTATAAAAATAAATTTAAAAAATAATATGAACTAGACATCTAAT